CTTAAAATATTTTTTTTTCAACGTTTTTTTATTTATTTTTGGGACAGAGAGAGACAGAGCATGAACGGGGGAGGGGCAGAGAGAGAGGGAGACACAGAATCGGAAGCAGGCTCCAGGCTCCGAGCCATTAGCCCAGAGCCCGATGTGGGGCTCGAACTCACGAACCGCAAGATCGTGACCTGGCTGAAGTCGGACGCTTAACCGACTGCACCACCCAGGCGCCCCTGGTCTGACTTTTTAAATAAGAAGCCCAGGGGCGCCTGAGTGGCTCAGTTGGTTAAGTGTCCGACTTTGGCTCAGGTCATGATCTCATGGTTTGTGAGTTCGAGCCCCATGTTGGGCTCTGGGCTGACAGCTCAGAGCCTGGAGCCCGCTTCATATTCTGTGTCTCCCTCTGCTGCTTGCACTGTTTTGTTTTGAGATTTAAGTAGCCTCTACACTCAACATCCGGCTCGAACTCACATCCCCTCCCCCGTTCCCCTGACTGAGTCAGCCAGGCACCCCTTAACTTTTCTATAAAGGGCCAGTCTTCATTGCTCCGTTCTGCTCTCGTAACTCAAAAGCAGTCAGACAACATGTAAGTCAGTGGGCATGGCTGTGCTCCAGTAGAACTTTATTTATGGACACATGGAATTTTGAATTGCATATAATTTTCAGGAATTGTCAAATATTCTTCTTTTGATTTTTAAAAATCAATTAAAAGTTTACTGATTTTGAGAGAGAGAGAGAGAGAGAGAGAGAGACAGTGTGAATGGTGGGGGGGGGGGGGGGCAGAAGGAGAGGAGAGAGAATCCCAAGCAGGCTCCACACTGTCAGCACAGAGCCCAGTGTGGGGCTCGGTCTCACAACCCGTGAGATCATGACCTGAGTCAAAATCAAGAGTTGGTCGCTTAATGGACTGAGCCACCCAGGCACCCCGGAATTAAAAAATTATGTTAAAATGTCGGGGGGTGCCTGGGTGGCTCAGTCGGTGAAGCATCCGACTTCAGCCCAGGTCATGATCTCGTGGTTCGTGAGTTCCAGCCCCACATGGGGCTCTCTGCTGTCAACACGGAGCCTGCTTCAGATCCTCTGTCCCCCTCTCTCTCTGCCACTCCACTGCTCGCATGCGCACTCTCTCCCTCTCTCAAAAATAAACATAAAAAACAATTAAAAAAATAAAAATGATTTTAAAATGTCAAAACCATTCTTAGCTTGCAAGCCATGCAAAAAAAAGCATTGAGTCATACTTTACCACCCCTGTTTTAGATATTTCCTATATACTAAAGATGTTACACCCATTGTCAGTTACATTGCAAATATTTTCATTTTCATTTATTATTTTAATAAATATTTTAGTAATATTTAATAATAAATTATTTTTAATTTTTAATATTTATTTTTAAGAGAGAGAAAGAGCATGAGCAGGTGAGGGGCAGAGAGAGAGAGAGGGAGACACAGAATCTGAAGCAGGCTCCAGGCTCTGAGCTGTCAGCACAGAGTCTGATGAGGGGCTCGAACTCATGGACCACGAGATCATGACCTGAGCCAAAGTCAGATGCTTAACTAACTGAGACTCCCAGGCGCCCTTATTTTGAGTTACTTTTTATATATGGTGTGAGGTAAGGATCTAGGTTTATTTATTTATATATATTTACATATAGATGCATCGTTGTTTCCATACCATTTGTCAAAAAGACTATCCTTTTCTCATTGAGTTACCTTGACAGCTTTATCAAAATCAATTGATTATATATGTGTGGGTCTATATTTTATGGGCTCTTTATTCCATTGATATATATGTTTACCTTATACCTGTAACTTTATATCTTGATACCAGGTAACTTAAGTCCTACAATTTCATTCTTTTTCTTTTTTTTTTTCTTTTTTAAAAGTTTGTTTATTTATTTATTTATTTATTTATTTTGAAAGAGAGAGAGAGAGAGAGAGAGAGAGCAGGGGAGGGGCAGAGAGAGAGAGAGAGGAAGAGAGAATCCTAAGCAGGCTCTGACTGTCAATGCAGAGCCCTAGTGGGGCTTGAACCCACAAACATGAGAGCATGACCTGAGCTGATGTCAATAGTCTGACGCTTAACCTAGGCGCCCCCTCATTCTTTTTCAAATTGCTTAGGCTGTTCTAGGTCTTTCACAATTCTGTAATTTTAGAATGAGCTCAGTGACCTCTACAAAAAACAAAAACAAAAACAAAACCTTACTGAAATTTTGATTGGGATTGCATTGAAACTATGGATTATTTTTAGGAAGAAATAACATATTACCAGCACTGAATTTTCTAATCCATGAATGTAGTGTATTTCTATGTTTATTTTGGCTTTCTTTGATTTCTCTGAATAATGCTTTCTAGTTTTCAACATAAAGGTCTATGTTAAATTTATCCCTAAGTATTTCATATTTAAAATTTTTTTTAATGTTTATTTTTGAGAGAGAGAGAGAGAGAGAGAGAGAGAGAGAGAATGAGCAGAGGAGGGGCAGAGAGAGAGAGGGAGACACAGAATCTGAAGCAGGCTCCAAGCTGTAAGCACAGAGCCCAATGGGGGACTCAAACTCACAAACTGTGAGATCATGACCTAAGCTGAAGTCAGATGCTTCACTGACTGAGCTACCCAGATGCCACTAAGTATTTCATGTTTTTGATGCTATTGAAAATAGTACTGATTTTTCAAATTTTCATCGTATTATCTATTTTAGTTTGTAGAGATGGAATTCATTTTTATATATTGACCTTGTATCCTATAACTTTGCTAAACTCACAGTAGGTCTATTCTTTATGATTTTGTCCATTCTTTATGATTTTCTATGTAGATTATTGTATTTTACTTGTTTTCTTTCTTTCTGTTTATGTAGATTATCACATTTAACTTTTCTTCCCAATCTGTGCTTTGTTATTTCTTTTCTTGTCTTAGTACACTGGCTATGACCTCCAACACAATGTTGAATAGAAGCCATAAGAGGTGACACCTTTGCCTTGTTTCCAGTCTTGGGGCAAAATACCCCAGCATTCACTATTAAATATATTGTTTTGGCTACAAGTTTTCATAGGTGCTTTTTAGCCCATAGAGAAAATCTCCTTTTATTCCTGGTTTGATGAGAGGCATTTTCAATAGCAGGAATCCGTTTTGATTTTTGTCAAATAAGTTTTCTACATCTGTTAAGATGATGATTCTCATCTGATTTTTTCTTTTCTGATCTCTTGGTATGGCAAATTAGATTGATTTGATTTTCAAATGTTGAATCAACCTTCCATGCCTTAAATAAGCCACCATGTGATCATGATGTGTTTTCCTTTTTATAAGTTGCTGGACTCTATTTGCTAATATTTTGTTAAGGATTGTTTGTGTCAATAGTCATGAAAGATATTGGTTTGTGGTTTTCTTTTATTTTCTTTCTTTCTTGCTTTTTTCTAAGTAGGCTCCCCACCCAATGTGGAGCCCAATGAAGGGCTTGGGCTCACTACGCTGAGATCAAGACCTGAGTTGAGGTCAGGAGTCAGATACTTAACTGACTGAGCCACTAGGCACCCCATTTTGTTGCTTTCTTTTCTTGTAATATCCTTATCTGGTTATGGTGCCAAGATAATACTACCCTTCTAGAATGAATTGGGAAATGCACCTTCCTATTTTCTGGAAGAATTTGTGTAGAATCAGTATTATGTCTTTTTTATATTTTTGTAGGATTCACCAATGAAGACATCTGGGCATGGAGTTTTCTTTGTGGGAAGGCTGTGTTTTTTTTTTTTTAAGTTTATTTTGAGAGAGAGAGAGAGAGAGAGAGAGAGAGAGAGAGAGAACGTGAGCAGGGGAGGGGCAGAGAGAGGGAGAGAATTCCAACCAGGCTCTGCACTCTCAGTGAGGAGCCCGATGTAGGGCTTGATCTCACAAACCATGAGATCGTGACCTGAGCCGAAATCAAGAGCCAAATGCTTAACTGACTGAGCCACCCAGGCACCCCTTCTTTGTAGGAAGGTTTTTAATCATAAATTTTATTTATTTATTTATTTACTTACTTACTTACTTACTTACTTAAAAATCACTCTTCTGACCATCTTTATTATTTTTTTATTTAAAAAATTTTTTTGACATTTTTATTTATTTTTGAGAGACAGAGACAGAACATGAGCAGGGGAGGGGCAAAGAGAGAGGGAGACACAGAATCCAAAGCAGGCTCCAGTCTCCGAGCTGTCAGCACAGAGCCCGACACAGAGCTCGAACCCACAAACTGTAAGATCATGACCTGAGCCGAAGTCAGATGCTCAACCGACTGAGCCACCCAGGCGCCCCCCATCTTTATTATTTTTTAATTTTTATGTATTTATTTTTATGGGGAAGGGGCAGAGAGAGAGGGAGATAGAGAATCCCAAGCTCTGCACTGTCAGCGCAGAGCCCCAAGCAGGGCTGGAACTCAAGAACCATGAGATCACGAGCTGAGCGGGAACCAAGAGTTGGACACTTAACTGACTGCGCCACCCAGGCGCCCCCCGAATTCCATTTTTAAACAGAGGACTATTTAGGTCATCCATTTCTTCCTAAGTAAGCATCTACATTTCCAGGAATTTGTCTATGCCATGTAAGTTCTCTGATTTGTTGACATAAAATTATTCATAAACTTCCCTCACTATCCTTGTAAATGTCCGAGGACCTATAGCAATCTCCCGTCTTTTATTCCACTATGTAAGTACTTTTCAAGCCTCTGCTTCTGTCACCTATCCTATCGTCCCATTGGCCAAAATAAGTCACAGGGCTAAGCCCTGACTCAGTGTGGATGGGGATCCCCTGAATGGGTGGAGACAAGCAGATGTGAACAAATTGGGAGCCATAACTTCAACAGTCTGCCATAGACAAACCTCCTTGCAGAAGGTTTCTGCCCCTAAGGAACAGATTTGTTCTCATGACTTGCTTGGCAACTTCGTGCGGCCAGTTGCATGCCCGCACGTTCAACAAGAGTGTTGAACATTCATTAAGACCGCCTTGTCGTATGGTCTCCCTGTCTATAATCCAGGCTACATCTCTCTCTCCCAGAGCGCTCACCACAACTGTAATTAAATAGTTGTGTCTTTGGCTGTTCTGTGTCTTGTGTTCCCACAGGAACATAAGCTCCATGAGGACAGAGACGGCGTCTGTCTTCATCCAGGATGAGTCCCCAGCTCCTGGCACATAGTAGGTGGCTGTATTAATCCATGTATTTGAAATGGAAACCTATCATCTGCAAGTTACCCCGCACATTGGCAATTAGCTTCGTGTCTGGGATATGTAATTTGCTAGGGAGGTTAAGAAATGAGTCGGGGGGGACAGTGACGCAGACTCCACAAACAGGAGCTGAGGACCTACCGCGTGCACGATTCTCCCGGAAGAATAGATCTGGAGCCCCTAGTACCGGAAGGAGCTGTTTTTCTCAGTAGTGAGCTCCCTTCCCACAGAAAGAATCAAAGATAGGCTGCACAACAGGGCACAGAGATGCTGTAGAGGGAGCTTGTTTTAGCTTGGGGGGGGAAGGTTTGGACTAGCCGATGGTTACGGTTCCTTTCCTCTCCAATACCCTGCAATTCCACAGCAGGGATTGACTTGCAGAGAAAGCTAGGCTGTGGCAAAGGCACACAAAGGGAGGCCTCCCGGAGGTGGAGGGATGGGGTCGTGGGGGAGCAGGTGGAGGGTGGTTGGAGACGCAGAGGGGTTGCAGAGGGAAGACTTTAGACGAAGTTTCCACTGCCTCTCATCTTCTTTGACTGCCTCCCTTGTACCTCCCACACACATACCCTTGAATCTGCCTTCCTCAAGGTCGTTGCCGGACTCTCTGTTCCTGTATCTACTGTGAACTCTCCAGCAGGCCCCAAACACCGGGGAGCACTCCCACCTTCCAGAAACCCCCACCCTCTGTTTTTCCTCTCCCAGATTCTGTCCTCAGCCTGGGTCTTGTTTTCCACGGGGGTTCAATTTCTGCCTTCCACGCGGACCTCCCAGGTCCTGGCCACGATGACTCTTGAGAGCTCCCGAGCCAAAGGGTCTTGGCAGACGGCGGCATCATGGGACCCAAAGTTTATATGTGACTTGTTTTTTCCCCAGTGTGTCCTTTTGCTGTGCCCTCAGGGTTGGCAAGGGCCGGTGGGGCGCAGCAACGAGTTAGGGGGTGCTACGCAAGCTTCATCGGGGTTGAGTCCTCACAGGCTTCACCAATGTCAGAGAAACAGCCAGAGCCCCCCTTCTCCCAGAGCCACTTCTCCCTCTACCCTCCATCCCCTGCAATCACATAGGTCTTCATGCTCTATACGTGCAAAGTGATGGCCTCACTCTGCCCAAAGACCGTCTCCTACCAGAGGGAGGAAGAACAGAGACGAAGCGGACAGAAAATTTCTTCCCGCCAACGATGTGCAAAACATAGAAGGCATTCTAGAGATAATCTGTCTCCCTTGACCTACATCAATACAGACTGTGTGTGTGTGTGTGTGTGTGTGTGTGTGTGTGTGTATTATAGACGATTTTAAAAAACAGTTTTGGGGGGAGGGGGGCACCTGGGTGGCTCCCTCGATTAAGCGATCGACTCTTGATTTTGGCTCAGGTCACGATCTCATGGCTTGTGAGGTTGAGCCCCACATCAGACTCCTTGCACTGACAGTGTGGAGCCTGCTCAGGACTCTCTCTCTCTCTCCCTCGCTCTCTGCCCCTCCCCCACTCGTGCTGTCTCTGTCTCTCCCTAACTAAAGAAATAAACATAAATGAATAAATGAATAAAGAAAGAAATAAAAATTAAAATCATGTAAAAACAAAACAAAACAAAACAAAACAAAACAAAACAGTTTGAAGTTCATGGCCAAATTGAGCAGAAAATATAGAGTTCCCAGAGAGCCCCTGCCATCACAGAAGCACAGCCTCTCCCACTATCGACATGAACCTGCACTGAGGTACCGTCATCACCCAGCATCCATAGTTTATGTCAGGGATCCCTCTTGGTGTCATACATTCTGTGGGTTTTGACAGATGTGTAATGACAGGTGATCACAATTATAGTCTCCTAGGGAGTATTTTCATTGCCCCGAAACTCCTCTGTGCTGCGCCTTTTCATCCCTCCTGCCCCCACCAACCCCTTGGCAGTCACTGATCCTTTTCCTGTCTCCACAGTTTCACCTTTCCCAGAATGCCCCAGAGTTGGGATCAGACCCTCTGGAGCCTTCTCAGATCGGCTTCTTTCACTTAGAAGCATTTAAGCATTTAAGACTCTCCCATGGCTTTTTGTGGTGTGAAAGCGCATTCTTTTCAAGAGCTGAATGATATTCCAGTGTCCCACTCGAGCGCAGTTTATGTTTCTATGTACCCGCTGCGGGACATCTCGGAGCCTCCCAAGTCCCACTGCGTTGTTGTGTGAGAGGAGAGGGGCGGGGAAGGAGCGCAGAAGTTCGTGAACCTGTACACATCATGATGAGTGACGCCCCATGTGCCTAATCAAATGCGCAGTGTTCCCCGAGGGGCCACGTCAGAAAAGCAGCCAACGTGATGGTTGCAGGGGAGGAGGGAGAAGGGGGCTCTGCTCTTCTGGCCTCGCCCCTCGGGGAGCACTGTGCATGGGATTAGGCCCGTGGGGCGTCCCTCATCACGATGTGTACCAGCCCGTGAACTTCCGCTCTCCTCCATGGCCCTCCGGGACCTGAAACTCCACCTGTCCAAGGCGAAACTCCTCACCCTCCCCTCCCTCGCCCAGCCTGGCCCCTCATCTCACGTTCCCATCTCAGCACATGACACCGCCATCTACCCAGTTGCGAAAGGCGGCACCAATCTGTGCATCTACCCCAAGCCCCTCCCTTCCCCTCTTCGCTTCCTGCCCCCATCGATCGGCAAGTCCCGTCACCTCTCCCTCCCAAACACATTCTGAATCTCTCCGTTCTCTCCGGGCCCAGAGCCACACCCTAGGATGGGCCTTCCGAACGAACGAAGCTGCCACAAACCAGCCGGCATCAGCAGGGTTGTTTTGGAGATACCAGGCCCTTCATGGCAGACCTGGAACTCCCAAACACGCACGGGGCTTACTGGACCACGTTTCCTGGTTTGACTTGGTTGCCTGCGTACGTGCGTGCACGTGCGTGGTTTTCGATGGGAAAGTGATTTGACCTGCTGGGGCAATGTCTGGAGACATTGTTGCTTGTCACGGTCGGAGGGGGCTGCAAGTGACATCCAGTTGTGTAGAGGTCAGGGATGCTGCTGAACACCCTGCGATACACAGGCAACCCCCCCCCCCAAGAATAATCTGCCCCCAAAGGTCAACAGCGGTGAGGGTGAGGAACCCTTGTCTAGAACCACTCAAAACCTGCCACAGACCAGGGCCGGTCCCGAGCTGCTGACCACCGTCCAGATGAGAAAGTATAGAAAACAGTAAGTGGAGAGAAGAAGCTTTATAGTAACTTGATAGAGTGATTTTGACCATTGGGCTCATGCTTTGCCTGTCTTTTAAATGTTTTAAAATCAGGCTTTAGAACAGGTTTAAGCAAAATTAAGAAAATAGCACGGTTTCCATAGACGCCCTTCTCCCAGCGCACGTGAGCGCGCACGCGCGCGCGCGCACACACACGGTTTCCCTTTTTAGTAACATCTTAGACTAGTATGCGACATTTGTTACAATTAGTGAACGAATTTTGATCCATTAGTATCAACTGAAGCACATGCTTTATCCAGATTTCTCCAGCTTTACCAGAATGTCCTTTTTGGGGGGGGTCCAGGATCCCACACGAGATTGAGTTGGCTCGCTTCCTTCAGCTCTTCCTGGCCGGGATGGTCTCTGGAGCTCTCCTCGTCTTTGACGACCTTGACAATCTTGAGGGGTATTGGTCAGGGATCCCAAAGGGTGCCTCTCTGTTGGAATTTTTCCGATCTTGTCCTCACGGTTAGGCTAGGGTTGTGGGTTCGGAGAGGGAAGATCACAGAGGCAAAGTGCCATTTTCATTGCATTTTATCACGAGAGGACGTACTGTCCGCCTAATTATGACTGTTGATGGTGGCCTTGATCACCCAGCCAGCAGGCGACGTGGGTGTTTGTCACGAGGCTTCTCCGCTGAAAACTTACTCTTTTCTCCTCTCTTTCTACAACATCCTTCTTGGAAAGACATCACGCTGTGCAGCTGGACCTCTTTTGGGGGTCGCAGCGTGTTCACGAACGATTTGTAATTCTGCACATCAAGTTTGCCTCTTGTCCCTCAACCGTTAACGTATTTGATCACTTCTTTGCCTCGGTGCGACCTCATGGACAATTTGCTTTATGCTTGGGGTTATAAGCCAATGTTACATTAATTTTGTTACTGAGATCGCTCCAGCTGTGGCCACTAGGGGCTCTTTCTTTCAGTGGGGCTCCTAAGGCCTCTGACATACCCAATCCTTGCAGGTCGTTCCTTGCTTTCTGGCACCATGCATGTGTTTTTCAACGTCATTTTTCTAGAAATTAATTTTCATTGCATTTTTATGGATGGGGGGGGAGGCGACTCGTTCCTCACTGGAGAGAATTTGAGAAGCACTTCAAAGAAGCTTTCTCTGCACGTCCCCTGCGGTGACCTTCCCTGAGGAGGCCAGGCTTGCACCTGCCCCAGGGCTCTTGCATTTCTCCGAGCCTGGAATGCTTTTCCTACAACTGTTCCTTTTTTTTTTTTTTTTTTTTTACTGTTTGTTTATTTTTGAGGGTGGGGGAGGAGCAGAGAAAAAGGGAGACAGAGAATCCAAAGCAGGCTCTGCACTGACGGCAGAGAGCCTGATGCGAGGCTAGAACCGGGATCGGATGCTTAACAGACTAAGCCGCCCACCCACCACAACTATTCCTTTTCATCCTTCCTGTCTCTGTCCATCTGTCCCACCCACAGAGTCGCCTCCCCCTCCCAAGCTGAAGCAGCCCTCACCCCAGCTGCCTTCAGCACTCGCACTCTTGCTTTGTTTTATTATCGTCCCAATATTTTTTCCCCTGCTGAAGTCATCTCTTTGGCGTACTAACAGTGTGGCGTCCACAGTGTGGACGAGAGGTACTGAGGGGAGATCCCAACCTTCCTCTGCTCGGAGGCCCCCCAGCCTCGGGCTTCATCCAACCCCATCTGAGGGTGACGAACGATTAGGGAAGGTAGCCCAGCCTCAGAACGGAAAGGCAGCATGGTGGTTCAGTGGGTGAATCCAGGTGCCTTGGGCTCAAAGCCTCCTTCATTCTCGTAGCTGTGTCATTTTGGGGCCCTCGGCCTCAATTTTTCTGTCGGCAAAATGGGTCTAATACTCGTTACGCTCGGGATGTTGTAAGAATTAAATGAGATCGTGCTGGGTATAAAATAGCCTGAAAAACTGTTACCTGTCGATACGATCCCCAAAGTGCACACATACCCAGAATTTTGCGGATGAGTTTTGGGGGCTTCATACACTTCCCCAAAACCTAGTCCTGAGTTCCGACCTATGAACCTTCTAAGTCATCCCCACCTCCAGCTTCATAACCAGAGCCTGTCTGATGAGTTAGGAGGTGTGAGAACCAAAGGAAGCCCCAGGTGAGGGAGGAGGTGGCAGGCAAGGGCTTGGGGAGGGCCGGAGGGGGGTCTAAGGGGAGGAGGCCACCTGCTCACAGGGGAGCCAGTGTGTCTGGAGCTGCGTGGGCCCCAGGAACTGGCCCTCAGGGGCAGGTGGGACCTCGGTTCCAGCCGGCTGTGTGTGGGTGGGGCAGTCTAGCCCAGCCAGGAGTTCCAGTTGGCCCAGTGTGGGGGCTGGGCCTGAGGAGGCCCCTGGCGCCCGAGGGGGGGGCACCGTGCCGAGTTCCTACTCTGACACCAGCAGACCCCCCCAGGCCCTCCAGTCCAGGACAGGCGAGGGCCTGCGGGTTCCCTCCCGGGGCGGGAACCTTATGCATGTGTGTTTACAGAGCATCCCCAGGAGTGTGTCCCAGCTCGTGTTTGTCCTTGGGGTCCACAGAGGTCATGAGAACCTTCCCAGAAAAGCAAACACGCATGTGAGCCAGCGGGACGTGCCACGCTCGTGGGAGTGGCACCCCGTGACGGTGTGCCCTTCCCTTCCCGGGCACCTCCCGATGCCGGGAGCCCCGGACCCCCCGGCAGTGCCACCGATGGGGAGACCAAGGCCCGGTGGGAAAAGGACATGTCCAGGTCATTCAGGGGGCTTGGGACAGGAGCCGAGACACGTGCATCGCACATATCAACACCTGCACGAAAACACACGCACACTGGCCCCTTTGTGCGCCCACACCCACTCCTGCACAGGCACATCCAGACAGGAGGGCCGACGCCCCAGCTCCCCTCCCTTGGGCACACCCACCCCCTCTCCAGTCACACGCTCTGGACCATGAGACCCATGCCTCAAACACACCTGTGCAATGTATGTTAAGGGGCCCCAGGAATTTCTACAAAGAATAGGCTTTGGGGACCATCTGAGCCTGAGAGGGGGGCTGTCTCAGGAAACTGACTCGCTATTGTGCTTTTTAC